CGGAGTAACTATTGCCAATAATATAAATATAATATATTTATAATATAAAATTTGGTAGTAAGTAAAATGTTTGTGCCACCATTTAAAGTGAGACTATGTAACTTTTGAAAGAATACATAAAACAATCATTCTCTTACAGATGATTTACTTGATCTGTGGCCGCTGTTCAGCAGAGTTTGATAGACTCACTTTATACTTTATTTTTTTATTTTTTGAGATGTTCCTGGATTTGTCTGGACACAATTTGTTGTAATTTCTTTCCTTTACATATACTTTGTGGGACAAGGTCTGTCAACCCTAACCTAAAAATCAAGCCATTTTATTATGTACTGTATGTAGTAAGAAACTGGGACACATCTAAAGTCTTTCCAAGAAAATACATTTACTCAATTAATCTGTCTTGACCGCTGTCCATGGTGCTGATTCAGGAGCTGTCTTGGGTGCTCTTCAACATTTGTGCTGGCAGGCCACAGTCCCACTACTGGGGAGAGATGGCCTATAGGTTGCCTTGACTGATCATCATCATCCTGTTGCCTCATCTGTTAGGCTTGCTATATATATCTTATTGATCCAGATCCTGATCGCTGAAACTTGGAGACACCATGCCAACTGACCTTGTTCCAGTCAGATCTGTGGTGTTTAGGAAGGTTATTTAGTTAGTACAAGTTTGCTTGCCTAATGTCCACGATAAGGTTATTTCTGCCCACTCCAGTAATAGCTGTTTGTTTGTTTTTTTACTTGCCTGCACTTTGTGCCTATTTAGTAATGTTACAGTAACAATATCTCTGACGTCTGACGTCATTATCAGCCTTTATCACACTACTGCAAACAAAGATTGAACAGATTGTGAGCTTTACTGTCTCTGGCATTGTTTCACCTGTGATTCACAACTTTAGAAAAACACTTAATTATTCCCAAGATTACTTTACTGTTTCTGGGTCTTTTTTCATGCAAATGTAGACTCCTAAAACTAAAAACTTTAAGAACTACAGGGAAGTGTGAAGAAATCAGGCTGACACTCCCACCTGCCTCACAGCTCTGACAGATTGTTACTCCACCGACTCTCTATCTTATCAGTTTTTTTTGTTTGTTTTTTAGATTCTTTTTTTGGCATTTGCCTTAGATAGTGTAAATACAGCCAGAAAACATAGGGAGCGAGACAGGACCACAACATGCAAAATGGCTGGAATTGAACTGGGGACGCTGAACACAAGGCTCACAAATAACTGAGCGAACTACTGTCTGTTGCATGCTCTTGGCTTTTTCCACTCACTCCAAACGAGAGTTATGTCTGTAACTAGAATTCTATGAATTCGGGATTACAGAAATGGTATGTAGTACTGCTGAGACAGCTGGTAGTGCTGAGAGTTGATTTCTGTTTTTATGTGGCTTGATAGGGAGGCCCTGTAAACATCAGAGTTAATGTACATTGCTTTGTAGTTTTGGGGTGTGGAGTACAAGGCAACATCACCATTTTTTGACAGATATATTTTTTTTGTGGTGGACAGAATATATAGAAATACTCGATTTTCCCTGGAAAAAGGAAAAAGACTGCCAATGCAAAGAACACTATAGATTTGGACCAGAATCTGTAGAAAATTGTATATACAATATGTGTATAACTGTACATATGACTTACTAACTGTCAAGATACTCTTGAAAAGCTGAAAAGTACACCAGGTTTTGCAGCTACATGTTTGGAGGAATAATCAGATTTACTTACTACAGTCAGCAATGGTCCCACTTTCATTAAGGGCAACCATTCTATCATCACACATTTCAAAAAGGCAGTGATCCACCATGCTGCTGCTGTGAAAGAGTTCTATTAAATTGACCCAGAGGACAGTGAGCCCTTGCTGTGTTAATAACAGCTCAGTGAAAAGTATGCCAAAGCCTCAGTGAGACATACAAATGAATAAACATTGTTTATAAGTCAGTAAATTAGTTTATGTGCTTAGAAGAGCAAAGGGGAATTTATGGGAATAGACATCAAAAGCAAATGTAACTGAATATACTCCAAGCTAAAGGTCAGAGAGGATATCTGTAGAGTGGCAGCATTAGACCCATTGCATTCTCATGCAATATGCAGAAATTCCACTTTATTCCTCCTGATGATGGACGCTATTTCGGCTGACAGCAGAAAGCCTTTAAATGAGCCTGCGAGCAACAGGTTCCCCCTTTAATGCTCTGGCTATAAATGGAGTGTAGGGTGTGGTGCGGCGGGAAGCCAGTAATAATCAATTTCCTGCTGCTGTAATCATAGTTCTCTGTAAGTTAATTAGCATCTGTTGAGTGTTACGGAGAGGCGTCTGCAGAGGGACAGAGGTGTTTGGAGTCAGAGTGGGGAGCATGACACAGGCTGTGGGACTGTCTTGTGTTAAGGCTATAGATTAAGATTTAGATTAAGGCTAACATGAGTCACTGCGTGATAGAACTAATGGTGCATCTGATGCATGTGATTGTGATATTGTGAGATCCAATCAGTATCGCAGATGGACTGTGTCACCCCCCACATTCTGTGTTATCTTGCTGTCCAATACCACAGAGAGGGCTCTAAAAGTATAAAAGTCTTATCTACAAAGTGGATGAACACCGCACACTCTCCATTACAAGTGATGGAGCATATTAAAAACACCAGAGGGGGAGGAAAATTCAACATAATATGGGCTGAAGATAATGAAAGAGGCACAAAGTGATTACTAATTTGGTGATGTCACACTGGCTGACTGGAGGAGGTTTAATGCAGACAACCAATCACATAGTTAGGAGTCAAACAGTCTAAGAGGCATCAAAAAAGGAGACACGCAAAGTGATTATCGATTGGCTGGTTAAACAACCAAATTACATCGGCAGTTGCTTTTAATGGAGAAAGAAGGAAGCCCATACATTTTGTTCTATTGGACCGTTTTTTTCTTCTTTTTTTCTGGTTGCACTCTGTTGCTGACTTTTATTCGATGTCTAGGATGGTGATGGGTGATGTGGCCTTAAATATGTTTTTTTTTTTTACAAGTTTCATGACAATATGATACATTTTGACAAATGCTTCATTAATCATTTTATAATTTATTAACTATATTGTAAGCAACTTGCCAATGATTTGGCTTAGCTAGGCTGTGCCAGCATTGTTTCTCTGTTTGGTTGGAGCAATCACATTACATGATTTCTGTCTCTCCTTATGCTCCACAGGATGCCCTTTGTGTGAGTGGTGAAATAAGTTTGTTGTCCTGCCACCTTTTGTTGTTTCCATCTTCTTACACTGCTTACTGTACAGATAACATATATATATATACACACACACAAATGCATCAGAGAGCAAGAAGAATGAGAAGAAAAGAGGTGCCGTTACAACAGACCTTTTTCACAATATGTGGTACATGTGACATTTCAATATGGCACAGCAGGAAAAGGCATAGCGTTAGTTCAGACAGAGCACTGAAGTCGTGCTTGTGTTAGCTGATTATCACTGTTGCTCTGACACTCACACACTGACGTTTGCCGCCACCTCAGTCTCCTACTCCTCTTGTTATTTCATCTTGTTAATTTAACTAAGATTTAAACCTACAACAAGGAGTTTTTAAGGAGACCGTCAGCAAGAAGATTGGTTATTTCTATATAGGTATTCCTAATGTCTGCCACTGTGTTGGATTCGGTCAGATTACCCTTGAAATCAATGAAACAAGGCTACTAATTTTGTCCACAGAAGCTGCCCTTTATCAACACAAAAGTTATTTTTTCTTCTTTAATGTTCGTGTGTGTTTAATAAGGGGAATTATGGACCTATAAATGGTCAGTGTCTCTGACTGAAGCAACATTAATAATGACTACACTGCATTCAGGTGTGCCAGATGTAGGGCCCTGGTATTGTGTATGCAGGTTCCCTGGAATGGGACACATAATGGAATAAATCTATCATTAATGTTAGCAGTTACACCTGTGCTTTTCCTGGGGGATTTTTCATGATGTTCCTGTTATGTCAAGATGTCCGCTATGAAAAAGGTCTATGGATGCGGTTGTAGCAGAGTTAATGATTCCACGTGCCATTACTTGCCATTATCCCTGTTTATTTAATGTATTTTTAGTCACTGCTGTATTTTTACTCTAATGTTGTTTATGATTGTGTTTTTGTTAACTTGTTTATCATGTATTATATTAGTTTCCCACTGGGACTGGTCTGTTGTGTGCAGTATGAGTTGCCCTTGCAGATTTGAGTCGTGTTACCAGTCTGCTGTATCCTGTTAAAATACTTAAGTGTTTGTTTGAGTTGGTAAGAAAGCCAGCAAGTGTATTTCCCAAAAAAGTGACAAAACTATTCCTTTAACTAACATGCATATATAGAGTACAACTTTACAGTAACTTTATATTTACCACTGAGTACAAAATAAAGCCATGAGCCAAGCATTCATCCAGTGTTCACTTACTGCAGATTAAAGGCAAATCTTGTTTCAACCAAATAAATGCGAGAGAGTAATTCCAGTTTTAACACAATGCTGCCGTGCAAGTAATAAAGTGGTCTAAGGCAGGAATTCATGCAGTGGACCCCATGTAGACAAATATGAAAGGGTTCTGACCCCATGCAAGAAGGTTTTTGTTCATTTAGTTATAAATGATATGGTTTCTAAAGGTGAGACATAAATGCCTGTAAAGGGAATATTAATGGTTGTACTCTTAAGGGGATAACGTCCAGTGAATTAAATTACACTAAAATAAACTGTTTCTAATGGTCCTAAGGACCAGCTGAGGAACCTGTTTTTGTTAATTCATCATTTACCTATCCACACACTGTTGCTCTTTTCCAGTACCACCCTGCCTCATACACTTGCTATTTCAGTGCATTGCTCTGGTGAAGATAGGGGAAACATTCACATTACCAAGACACATTTGTTCGCTACCCTCTCTAACCATTTGGCTTGTTGTTTTGACTCACTCCAACTAAAATCTGTAAAGTCTGCCCTCAATGGGACAATTGCCTTCCCCTGGGCTAGAAAGGTCTTTCAACTCACCATCTACACATGCTGGCCTCGCCCTGGTGGTCCCGGCGATCTGGCCTCTCCGGCAGGCACAGCGGGCCGTCTGCCTAGCGATGGTCCGTCTGGGAACGCTGCTGTCTCTGTTGAGCATCACTATCTCGCAGGTTCCCACCGCCAACTGGCCTGCCAAACACAGCAGCGAGGAACAAAGTACATCACATTAGCATAATGAGACTGTAATGAACATATTGCAGAGGAGCAACTGGTGTTCAAAGGTACCAACAACAGGCAGCCTTGACACACTGCCCTTTTTTGGTCTGTGTAGCAGACTTTAATGCTCTCATTTAAAGTCTCAAATAGAATAATTAGAAACTGATTGCAGTGCTTTAACAGCAGCAGGCAAGAATACTTCTTCAGTTGTGGTACAGTGTGGCTGGCCGCTGTTGATAAAAGTGTCTTAGTGATCATGTGGAAAACAAAGATCCCTCCAAGAATCTGTTAAAAGGACATTTTCTATTTGGCTAGTCATAACAGCAAGTTAACAAGCCTACACATCTAAAGCTTCTAAAGATATGAAAGGACTAAAAGAAAAAGAAAAAAATGGACTGGTTTGCTTTGGTTAGAGCGTTAGGAATAAAATCAGATGGGTTTTTGTGATTGGACATATGAATGTGCTCAGCAAATTTCATCAGCCCATTACATTATGAGATATGGAGACTGTCCAGAAAAACAACAGCATTAGTCATTTATTCAAATACCTAAAACAACCTTTGGTTACATGTACTTGTCGAGGCCGTCTTGTGGGCAAGAGATTTGTCCATCAGAAGCAAAGGTGGCACTGCATGACATTGTTTTAACACAGCAAAAGAAAACCCTAGAGAGGAGGTTGGGGTGGTTGGTAAGGTCAACAAAAGTGTGACTTTAAAAAAGAGAGACTGCTGCTTGTTTCATGTTTCCTACGAACTGTCAGTACTGACCATGTAGTTTTTGAGCCTGCATCTAATCAAATATTAACCATGATTTGATGGCTAACTAGAAAAAAACATCATATGAATATTTTTAAAACGTCATATGCATTTGGAAGGCACTGACAAACAATGCTGTCCAACCAATAGGGCGTGCAGTTTTGAGGACTTGTTGAAGACATTGTGTGTTTGGTGCAGACTGAAATACCTCAACAACCATTGGATGGATTGCCACAATGTTTTGTGCAGACATTCATGGTCCGATGATGAATCCTAATGAATGAAATTCACATTTGTGGTTTTGGGTAAAATGTCCAACAGCTATTGGAGGAATTTTTATGAAACAATAGGTGCAGACATTCATGTCCCCCTCAGGGTAAATCATTATCTTTTAGGCGATCCCCTGACCTTTCATTACTGCCATCATCAGGTCCAAATTTCAATTTGTCCAATACTTTGGTTTATGTTACATACCTGCAAAACTGACATTCTTCATCAGCTTCTGCTGTGTTATATGTTCAGTGCTGATTAGCAAATGTTAGCATACTAAAAAATGTTTTGGTGATTATACACTAATGAAAATACTTAGGAATATTATATTAAATTTCTGCCAATAGATCCTCCCAAATGTTACACACTGGACCTGATTTTTTAATTTTACTATAGAACTAGTTAATGAAACATGGACCAATTGATGAAATAGTGTGCAACTCAGTTGACATGGCAGTGGCTGCTGCGGTCACTGTGCTCCTACAAAAGACAAATTTTCAAGTCAAGTTAAGTTCTACTGAAACAGCAAATGGGAAGAATGTCTTAAGGTGATGACTACCGTACTCAGAAATCTGCAGGTGTGCTATTCTTACACCTCTATCCAAGCACAGCAAATTGCTTCAGAGTTCTCCAGGCATTACAAATTGATGGATGACTCCCTGGCCAGAGTCCTGTGGTTTAGCAGGTTTTTTGAGTATCAAGTTTGTCAGAATGTGATTTCTGAATTAATTAAACAAACTAGAGAAACTACAATTCGCAAGGGTGTCTCAGCTGCAAATGGACTACTTGGGGGGGGGAATCTTATGTAAATATATATATAAATGTTCTTCATCATCTTGACTTTTTCATGTCAGGGGAATTAAAAGAGTTGATAAAACACTTTTAAAACTTTTACTTGGCAAATTGCATGATGAAATGATCCCCTTTTGAATCATGTTCACTTGAAATATTGAGTGAGTTTGGGTAAATTTATTTAAGTTTTCTAACAGCTAGAGATGAATATCTAGCAGCAAGAGCTATTCAGCATTCAAACACCAGTGTCAAACTATTGTTAAGGTGAAGAGATGAGCTTTGCGCCCAGAATTGCAGCTGTACCTCATGCTCTGATAATCACTGCTAATGAGTCACACTGAAAACTGGGCAAACAAAAGAAGAGTTGTAACAATGATGTTGCCAATGTTTAGGTTTATTAAATGAACCCTCTGCGTTGCGTTTTGTAGCTGACAGTTCAGTTGAACACTTATTGTCGAGGCAGCAGTTTTGTTTGGGTAAATTATTTAGAAACCCGAGGGAACATATTTAATTGTCTTTTATTTAGGCCTTCCTGGCGTGTTTGGGGGAATTATTAACTGTTAATAGTCTTGTGTTTGATAGATAAACAAGCTTTAATCACAGTAAATTGCTTGAGGGTGTCTGCTGCTTTCAAAAACACATTTGGAAGAACCAATGTTTCGATACATGTAGATGACGCATTTTCACCGTTGTCATTTAAAATCAAAGGGAGGTTTGTTTCAGCATCAAATGAGGACTAAAAAAACAAATCAATAACCTGGTGAACTGCAACTGTACAATATTAATGTGTGTGAGTACATCAAATCCGACTCAACTTGAACTCAGCACATTTCTTAATAAGTGCAATATAAATGCATGTGAAGTTAAATAACTACATCTTATCACAACTTATCTGCTCCAGGTGAAGCTCTGAAAAAGTTGGGGAAACTTCCTTCACCTTTGTAATGATCAGGAAAGGGTAACACAGTTTCTTCCTTCTTTTCTTTATTGAATGGAAAGCTGCCAGTGAAAGCCATTCAGGCTGACACTGAAATAAAATCAGCTCAGTGAAGGTAGATTAGAGAAGAGTCGGTTCTGCAGTTCCTGTAAGGTCAATCCCTGGCATTCACCAACCATCACTCCTTTATACTGCTGTTTCCACTTCTTCCCAACACCCTCAAAGGTTCGTTAAGTGAGACGCTAACTGCTCTATAGCATGAAATGGCTGTAATAATGGCAAAGGTTGAAAGGGTTGTTGATCAACACAAATGACTCATAAAATTACCTCAGCGGGTGCTGAGGCTTCCAAGTTTCAGAACTACTAAGTTTCAGAGCAAGACATCTTGGAAATATTCCAGATGATGATTCCTAGTCATTATGGTGACCCTGTGATCTTTCTTTTAGCAACAAAATGTCTCCAGGCCATGGCCGGATTAATCCACTAGGGGGCTCCGGGGCAAAAATTAACTTTGGGCCCCAATGACCCACCAAGTGATAAATCCATTGTCACCTCTAAAGCTCACTAATTAACAAGTTATATCTCGTTTGATAATCTGTTCAAAAGCCAAACTGTAAAAATGACAATTCAGTGTTTTACAAGGAGATATGTGCTGGACTATTTCTAAGCAGAGCCTGGCCAAGAAATGTAAATGACAGATAGAATACAATTAGCCAGAAAGCGAGTGTATTTACTAAACTGTCAAGCTATTACTTTAACACCCATATCATTTTAGATGGTATTGTACTAGGATAGCTGTGGTGCCCAAGAAAGGGATTTCTGAAGGCAAAGCAAAGCACTGAAAACGTTCTTAATATGGAGTACTCTTAAACTGATATTGATTTTTGAGGTGGGAAGGTTCTTTTTGTGTTCAAAATAAATTTTTCTGCTGACCCTGTATTCAGCAGTGCTTTTCTCTGCTTCCCTTTGGGTACTCCTGTCTGTTTCTCCAAACTGGGGGCGCACTGACCTCCATCTTCTGTAGGTAAAACACTGACTAAGTACCTCATACAACCTGGCTTTAAAAAAAATTAACTATCCCTTTAAAATGTAGATATTCTTTAACAAATAACTTAATCAAATGTCCATAAATCAAGTGACACTCTTTCGGGCTCTTTTGTCTGCTTTGCCTCTGCCTAGTCGGTAATCCAACATTAGATGAACCCTTTTTTATTATCACTGCTCTATGAGCTTTCCTCCAGCTCCATCGCCTAAACACTGCAAGCTCTGGGGCCTATTAGTCAGGATATTGTTTTAGTATTTTACCATGTCAGTAACCATACTGGACACCAAACTTTTGCCAGGACAAACAGGACTAAATCTGCATCTCAATGAATGGATTAGTGGATGGTTGCTGGTCTCAGTGGCAGACACATTGTGATTTAGGCTGATAAGATTGGTATATTTTTACATAAAATTATTACCTAGACCAGTCTTGGGAGTCATAAAACACAATCACCTCTACAGAGAACTGCTACGCACATTTCATTTCATAGCATCAGCCTTGCTGCCCACCCTCCCTCTTCCACTATCCACCACTCAGCCCACCCTCCACTCTCTTTTTGCTGAGGCGAGTGCCTGTATACTTGGTGGGTGCTTGGAGGATAGAGGTGCCATCACATATCAGTGCTATCGCCATGTTTCAACACTGAACAGATGAATGGGCTTCATGCAATAAGCCTGAAGGAGGAGGATAGTAAGGCAGAAGGGGGGAGTTGATGTGGGGAGTTGTGTGTGGGTGGGTAGGTGGGGGTACTCTGTAAAGTGCCCTAAGCTCCACAGCCAGAGCTCCATCATACGTACAGGAGTTAATTCATGTGACAGGGGGTTCCTGTCACTCAGCAGCATGAAGACACTTGGCCCCCATCTCTATTTCACATGATGAAATGCGCATACGGCTGCGTTGGCAAGGAGTGTGCAGAGTGAACGATGGCGCCATGTCGCCATCCAGGCTCTGGATCCTCTCAGAAACGACATCCAGAGGGCTACAGGAAGCCGATACGACGCACAGTGACTGGCTCTCAACACTGGCTGGCAGCCTGATGACCTTATCACTGAATCACAACACTATACAAGTGCAAAGCGGCAAGGCATACACACACAGGGTTTCAAACACACACAGTTTAGAGCAAAGACGTGAGTCTGTGCTCTACATATCAGCACTTTGATCAGACACACTG